CAGAGAAAGCAGAGAGTAGACCACCCCGTATTGAGTGGAATTCCACAGGGCAGTGTGCTGGGTCCAATACTGTTTGTGATATACATTAACGATTTGCCAGAAAATACTGTATCAAATACTGCATACTGTACTGCAGATGGCACAAAAATGTATAGAGAGATTAAGAGCGAAGAGGATAGGATACTAATGCAACAGGACTTGGATAATTTACAGGAATGGTTCAACACCTGGCTGTTAAGATTCCATCCTCTTAAGTGTAAACTTTTAACAATAAAGGGAAAGGGAACAGAAACAAGAAGTTATCACATGACAGGACCAGAAGGAAAAGTGAGAGTAGAAAACATGACATCCGAGAAGGACATAGAAGTTTTGTTTGATAAGTAAGGCAAACAGTATTGTTGGCCCAATTCAAAGATCTTTCGTATACTTGGATAAAACAACTTTTATGCAAATATTTAAGGCCGCATTTGGAATACGCCGCAAGTGTGTGGATCCCATACAAGGTGAAAGACATTGAATCAATCGAGAGAGTGCAAAGAAGGGCGACAAAGCTAATTCCGGATCCCGGTCTCAAAGATCTACCATATAGCCACCATCTGAAGAAGCTGGGCTTTCCAACACTCACATTTAGAAGACTGAGAGGAGATATAATAAATGTTTACAAAATTATGAACAATTTTCATTGTAATAAAGTTACCACTGGGATATTTGACCATCATATAGGAGCCAGAACGAGAGGCAATTCACAATTACCTAACGCATGTGTCAAAAACTACAGAAAAAATACTATAGATTGGCAGAGATGTATATATATATCTGGCTTTATCTGTCTCTGAGATTGGATATCCGCAAATACTCCTTAGGAATCAGAATCGTCGATATATGGAACAGCCTATCGGGTGCGGTTGTACAGGCCAGGGGCGTTTCTAGGATATTTGAAAGAGGGGGCGTAGAATCAAATCTTTCGCCGAGCGGAGCGATGCGAAAAAAAAATGGACCTTTTTTTTGCTAAAAAACATAAAATAATTGTGAAATACACTAATGTAACGGTTCCTGACTTGGAGCATGTCTATTTTATAGTTAAAGTGTCAGGGTGTTTATGTGTTTAATTAATGAATATGATAATTTGCCATATTCAATACAATATTAGCAGATTACGATAGTTTTTTTTGTTTGTTTTTGAAAAGGTGGGGGGGGGGGGGCGGTACGCCCTTACCTGGACCCGCCCCTGGTACAGGCAACAACCATTAAAGACTTTGAAATTAATTTTGACAACTATTGGAAATGCTTGGTACTAAAATTAAACTTTCTCGCTAGCTTTAAATCCATTACCGGAAGTGACTATTAATTTTTTTCATTTTATGTATAATTATTGTTATGGATATAGAACCATAACAATGCCTGTGTCCATTCACGGACTTAGATAATCTAATTCCGTGGTCCATCATATATCCTAACTATTATAAATGGGTTGTCACCAATTGAGAACCAATACCACTATTGAGTTTCTCGTTTACGGAAAGTACCGACGGTTCCCGATTTAGTTGTAAGCACGATGGGGATTTCCAAGTTGGTTCTAAAAATAGTAGTTTTCTAATAATAGATGTTGAAATTCCGATATCTAATTATAGAATGTACAAAGAAGGATCTAGAAGGCAAACGTAAGTATTCTTCTTCTTCCTTTTAGTCTACTAACTTATTATATTTACTCATATTCGCAAAGGAATTTGTAGTTAAAACATACAGCAGATAGTGTACAGTAAGCCTAAGCACTTCAGTAAGCGACAAGTAGGACAATGCGCGTCGCCTGGCGGGCCACGCCACAGGTGCTCAGGTTCTGGAATATATATTATACGTGATATATTATTGCAACCCACTAGATATCTACTGCGTGATATCTAACGGGGTGCAATAATATAGCCTGCACCCCGTATTATATCGTCATTGAATATGGTTTGGGATTTTTGTTTTTACCAAGAGCCCGCCCCACTCTCGTACTAGCCCACTTTTCGGGCGAAACCGGTATATAGATGTTTTCCTAATAAATAAAGCCCGACTTATCTCGAGGTTGTTGCGATTCATTCTTAATAAAAAAAAAAGTCCAATATTAAAATTAAAAGTTTAAAGGTAACACTAACAGTTTCTAGAGACTAGACACTCAAAGATCACGTGTACTAATTATCAGTCCTCGATCCACGGCGCGTCTAATTACCCAATACTACCCAATACCACCCCATACGACCCAGTTATGAACCAAATACTTCTTTATTACTGTGAAATATCACCTTCGTACCCGTTATTTACTTCCATATGCCATATTTTATCGGGAAATATGCGATTTGGTGCCGAAAACATCACCGAATTGCCGTGACTATGACCCAATACTAATACTGCTCCATACCACCCATATACTACCCAATACCAATACTACCCCATACGACCTAGTTATTAACCAAATAATTCTTTATATTACTGTGAAATATCTCATTTCTTGAAGTTATTTACTTCTATATGTCACATCCTATCTGGAAATATGCGATTTGGTGCAGAAAACATCACCGAAATGCCGTGACTAGGGGTTCGACGATTTACAGGAACGGGCAGGAACGGGCAGAAATCTATTAATTATTATATATACATTGATGAATATATATATTTAATTAGATACATTTAAGTATCATTATCGGGTATAAGATATATTTGATAAAAGAATTGCAATTACATGATACTATATTAATTATATTCATGTCATAAAATGGTGTTATTAAGATCATATATATAAATTTAGCAGGAAATATTTAGAAA